AAAAAAAACAACCCTGAGCCACACAGCGTAAAACACCATTGTGGTGTAAATGCACTTTGGTGGTTAAAAAACTGAGCTGGATTGCCTGCAAATTGGCAGACACCGGGCCTAACCAGGTATCCTCTGTTCACAGCACTACATCTTTTAGACAGATCAAATATCATCTGTTGTCTCCCTGCCAACTTAGAAAAATCAGAAGCTGACACAAACACCGTCTCATCTGCTCGAGCCAATTCAAAAGAAAGGAGATTATATATCACAGGCTGATCTGGATCAGATTTGCACTGTATGATCCAGCAAAGTGCATATCCACCAAAAATGGTAAGCTGCCTTTGAGGAAGAGTTTGGCAAAGTGGATTCTTAGGTTAACTGAAGGTTGCATTTAAAAGAAATGAGTAGCAAAATAAATTAAAAAATGCTAAGTGAAGTGACACTCAGAAGGAGGCAAGGGAAACGTTTCTTCCTGTTGAATAGTTAAACTATTTCAAGAAAAAACAGAACATCTGTCAGAAAAGAATTTACTGTGGTGATTCTTTGTGGAGACTGATGGCAACTGCAATTTGAAAAGCTGGGACACAGGGCCAGCTGAAGACTGGAGACAAACGTGACACTGATGTCAAGGGCTCATCACTGCCATGTCAGGGAGGAAACAACTTTAAAATCACAAAGAGGAGAATTCAGTGACAGTCCGTCCCAGGTGATCATCTAGACACAATTTATTGTATTTGTAAATGATTGAATGCTTGTTACCCATTCTCAGCTGTTAGAAGTTCACTAGTAAATGATGGAAACTGAAATAAACCAGCAAGAACAGAATGCAGAAAAAAATTATTAAAAAGCATATGATATTTTTCCACTTACACAAAAAATGTAATTTTGAAAGGCAAAACAGAATGCTTCTCTTCCCAAGGTGTTAAATACCAACAATGACACTGAAAATATAACCACAGCAGATCAAAACAGTGAAGGTGATATCAGATACTGGCACCTTCAAATATTTCACAAAAAAATGTGGAAGCATTAAAAGCTTTTCCAGAAGTTTACCAAAGTGAAACCAGTATAGTCATCCAGCATAAATCCATAAAACTCATCAGATTACTTTATCTGTCAATTGCCAGCATCGGGCCATTTGTCAGTTAATACCAGAAGTGCATAAACAAGCAAAATGCTATCTTCTATATCACGAAAATCCTGCTGAGGCAGTGAAACACGTTGCATGCACTTTAGATGGAGTGCACAAATTGAAACAATGCTTTATGAGTAACAAAGAGCAAAATCATTTCTCTAGTACACAATCTAGCAACTGAATGCATTAATGTGTATGGAATTCACATCAGAACAGTATAAAACGATGCACGTGGTGTTATACCTACAGCACATGAAGTGGTGATGTACATTAACTGGAAAGAGAACGTGTTACTATTGATTCTCCTGGTAAACTTCACAGAACATGCATCACAGTCATTAAAGTTACAGAAGACCTCAGAAAAAGCTATATACATTGCAACTGTATACACATTAGGATTAACAACTTATTTGCAGGAGGAAGAAAAAAATACAAATACTTAATGCAAATACAAATTACTTACATTAAATATATCTTAAATTTAGAGAAGATATGCAAAACAAGAACATCAAGGAAAAGGTGTTAGTTGGAAAAAACCATCTCTTTTCAAAAGGGATTGAAAAACAGCATTGGAAAAGCATATCCCCAAATGAGTAATACTAACTACAACCTTGAACTATCTTCCTTCCTTCCGACTGTACACAAATACTTGTCAGAGAAGGACACATTCAACGCTCTTGAACACTGTAATCACTTCCATTGGATCATCACATCAGCTTCTGCGTCACACAGAGGAACCTGAACATGCAAGTTTCCTTGGCTTGTTCTCAAAGAATAACACACCTCTCCTGACCAAAAAACAGGATTTTCTGAAATGCTAGGTGTGGAATAACCTCTGTATCACATCAATGGATTATTCATAAACTGGTCCCTTAGCCTCATCTACATCTCCAAATATTTTAGGTATAGCATAAAGGCCTATGCAAACCAATCAATGGATAAAATAATCTGAGAAACTAATAGAACCAAAATTTTTCTACACCAGATGAAGGAGGAATATCTTTGAATACTTCTACCAATGCTGAATACTTAAAATAAAGAGCTAGTTCATAATAGAACTGACAAGTCTTAAAATATGTTACCAAATTTGAGACTTGTGAAGCATGTGGGCTGGGATGTAACATAACAGGAAATTCTGTTCACAGGAACAGAAAATTAATGTGGAGAAACTCTTAAAACCAGAATTCCATTTAATTATCATATGCACTATGTTACTGGCTTCAGAATATTACAGTTAATTAATATATCTTTAACAAAAAGAGGTGACATAAGTAGGCAATTTGCAGACATAATGCTGCCCATGCAGATATGTAAGACACTATGAGGAAATGGTTCAAAAAACTCAGTTGAAATAAACATACACTTATTAAATTGCACAGAAGCATCCAATCTGATTATACCAAAACAAAGCCATAATTAGAGGAAAGTAATGTCATCACCATTTTTACATTACTACTGGAGGGTATATTAGTTAACATTCGAAAAGACAAAAATAGAGTCTCTCCCCTGGACTTCAGGTACATCTGATCCTTCAGTACGTTCCTCAACTCACAAGTATAAAAGATCCCATTAACCACAATGGGACTACAAGATGGGGACAAAACTAGGAACTTATTACCTTACTGAGTCAGTACCCTAAATCACTCGTGATTACTTTCTGAGCCACGAGAAAGGGTATACAATGACAAATACACATAAACATTGTCACTTGTACGTGTGTTGCACTGGGACGTTGCCTTCATTGTAAGCCATACCTCCAGGCAAAACACTGCAGTAACTCATCTGTGAGGCCCATAGAAAACAATTATCATGACAAGCACAAGAGCATTCATACAGTTTGAACTAACTCTACCAAGACAAAAGAGTACTTTCTTATCAGAGGCACTTTCAAAATTACACCATTATTCTGAACTTTGCCTCTCATTGCATAGCTATGTAGCAATGCTGCATCAGATTATTACCAAACTTACTCCTAAAAAAAAGAAATCTGTATTATGCTTGGCATTAAGCCAACTTCAGCCATAGTGCAGATTCAGACAGGGTCACCAAGAGTCTTCTCTGACTCAAAAACTACTATTCTGAATTTCTGGTTGTTTTTTTTTTTTTTTCCCTACGGAATATAGAGAAGTATAAAATCTACATTAAACTTTAAAAGGGCTCCTGTTTACAATTACGCATAGGTAATGATGCAATTTGCACTGCATGTGTACTGTTGTATATACAAATTACTATTAACTCACCCTCCTTCACTGTCCGCCTCTTCAGAGCTGGTAGTTTCTCTTGCACCAGAAGCTGTCTCAGCTTTTCTCCGCCTTGTTGCTCTATGTGACGGGCTAACCCTCTGAATATCACTTTTCCCTTGAAGCTCATTTCGAACAAGCTCCTCAAGCTTTGGAATAGCTTCTTTCAGAAATTCCACCTCTCTCTTCAGTTCGTCCACACTTAGTAGCAGGCCATTCAGTTTCTCTAGTATCTGCAGTTGCCTCCCATGTAAAACCATCACAGCTCCTTGCTCATTAGGAGCCTCATTTTGCAAGCCCACAGAATTCAGACTGTTACCTATATCCTGGAACGCACGTACTCGCACAGCTGCCACACGTTTTCGGATCTTGTGGTACCAAACCAGCACGAGGCTTAATCCAGCAGTCCCTGCCATTACACCCAGTATGAGTCCTTTATTTTCGAAGGGAGGCATTTCTGCGCGCTCCTAAAATTACGAGACAACAATAACAGAGTTTAAGACGTTTTCCCTCACTCCACCCAAACGACTTGCTTTGCTTTGGCGTCCCACTGGCGTACGGCTGAGCAGGCTGGTGCCTGCCGCAGGCACTAAGTTACACCACAACCCTCGCAGTTTCTACAACACAAGGCTCTGTGTGTGCACCAGACAGCAAAACCAGGACGGAGCTGGGTTTGGGGTGTCAGCGGCGCCGGCAGGCGGGCAGGTCCGCAGCCTTCCCTTCCAACCATCCCGGGCATCCCGGGATTTGTTTGTTGTAATGCGAGAAACTCGCATAATCGGATTTTCCGCCACTGCAGAGGCGGAAACCCAGCTGTCAGGCCGGAGCGCCGCCCCACTTCCCCCCGGCCCCACCGCACCGAGGGGCTGCCGGAGCCCCGCGGTCGCCGCCCCGCAGCCCACCCCAGCCCCGGCCCCGACCCCGGCCCCGGCAGCGCCAGCTCCGAGCGCGGCCCGCCCCGGTACGTACGTACGGCCGGAACGGAGCGGTCCGGGAGCGGCGGCGCGTCGTGCCCGGGCGGCCCCACAGCAATCCCGCCGCGGCACAGGGGGCGGCGGCGGGGCCGCCCCGGGGCGGCGATACCCGGATCGAGGGGGACGGACCTCTGCCGGCCGGGCCGCCCGGGAAACGGGCCTGCCCTGTGGAGGAGGGATTCCCGCAGCGCTGGGAATCCCGCCGGGCCTTGCTGCTGGGGGAAGCCCGGCTGCACCTGACACACACGTGGCTCGACTACGCCGTTCTAGGGCAAATGTACCTACCTGTTCATGAGTCTGTCCTCAGTTTGTTGGCTGCTCGATTTTGCTAATTTAACCTTTTGCTACTTCTAAGCTCCAGAGAAACTGTATTTCCGCTCCATTAGTGGAGAACCTGAAGCTTCAAAATCACAGCGAAACCCCGCCCCGTTGCCAGGAAGAGGGGCAGTCCCGACACACAGCCGTCTAAAGGCCCAAGGCTGATTTCACCGAAGCCCATTATAGATTGCTCAAAGTCATGGAGGGACCTATAGAATAGTTGGGGTTTGAAGAAGACCATAAAGATCATCCAGTTTCAGTCCCCCTGCCGTGGACAGGGACACCTTCAAGTAGACTAGGCTGCTCAGAGCCCCATCCAACTTTGCCCTAAATGTTTCCAGGATGGGGTATCCCCAACTTTCCAGTGCCTCACCACCCTCACAGTAAAGAATTCCTTCCTAATACCTTATCGAAACCTACTCCCTTTCAATTTGAACCCATTTGTTGTCCTGTCACTACATGCTCTTGTAAATAGCCTTGCCCCATTTTTCCTGTAAGTTCCCTTCAGGTACAAGACAACATGAAGGCCACAATTAGGTTACCCCAAAGTCTTCTCTTTTCCAGGCTGAATAATCCCAATTCTCTCAGTCTTTCCTCATAGGAGAGGTGCTCCATCCCTCTGATCAAACTAATGGCCCTCCTCTGGACTCCCTTCAGCAGGGCAATGTCCCTTATGTGCTAGGAACCCTACAGCTGGATGCAGCACTCCAGGTGGGGTCTCAACAGAACAGAGTAGAGGGACAGAACTTGGGTTAACAGGATGTGGAAGGCATTGCTCCTGTGTCCCATCTGAGATCACTGTTATCAGTGATGCTCACAAGACCCTTCTTTGTCCTTTATGGCAGTATTTCTTTCTGGATCTTCCTCCCATTTCTCTCCTTAAATGGAAGAAGGATCATCACAGACAACATGCTGTGACTGTTTGTCTTCCTGAAGGGAAGAGGGTGCCAGTACATAACATCCTCCCAAGATTTACAAGCATAAAACTCATATTCTTGTGTGTGAGGGCTTAAGGAAACCGTTGTGGATGCTACTGTATCTGTGCAATGAAAGAAGTTGTTCTTCAACAGCTGGAATTATCCTCAGCCGTATCAATCAGAAATCAAAAACATTATGTAATTCTTAAAAAACATACTAACAACCTTTAAAAAGTAAATAAAGTGCTGTAAAAAACCAAAAAGACTACCTAAATGAGGTACCAAGAACTCAAGAATTTTCAGTCTTACTGCAAATTAGCAATTGTAAATCAATCTAATGTCTACTTATCTTCAAACAAAGATTTAGTTTAAAGTAACTGCAGCTCCTTACTAATTCTTCATTAATAACCTGAAGATGAAACTAGCCTTATTATGAGACTAAACAACAATCTGAGAGAAAGGCAGAAATTTGTTAAAATGGAAAAATGAATACTCTTTAAGTATTCTACAGATTTCCTAGTTACAAAACAAACCCACCACCAACAAAGTATCATTTGTTCATGTTTGTAATTTGAGATTTTTAAGTCAAGGATGAAAATACCTTCAATTTTATGGAAACTTCACTAAACTCAAATTATTTTAACAAATTTCACTGTAAGTAATGGTTTTCAGTTACAGAATCCATCGGTATTTTAAAATGGAACAAGACAACATGAATTTCCAAATGCTCAAGAATGGTAATTTAAATGTGTTGAATAACCTTTAAATTTTGTTGTTGTTTTTTTTTTCCAGTATAATCTGCTAAAATCTTTCTATAAGCCAATTAAAACAGGAAAGGATTTTAAAAAGAGAATTAATCAAAGGGCAAACACAACTCAAAGCCGAAACAAAATACTATGGATGCAAAAACCTAAGTGAGTATTTTCAGAGATTTTTCAAAATGACTGTTGCAGGTTGCAGGTTGCAGGCCTTAGACAAGGGGACTTGTTTTCAAAAATAATGGCCCAGGAGAACTGCCATCTACAGCTGCTTGGATATGCAGCAAGTGTGAAAATCAGGTCCCCTGTCTGGTCCCAAAGTCCTTGTTTGCTTTTTACTTGTGGCCATTTTACCCAGGCAGAGCAGTGTGGGAACACAAAGTTATTGCATGTATGTAGTAACCTTCCAGAACACAACAGCTTTTCAACCTGAGGAGCTAAACATGAATTTACCCAGATATGGCACAATTCCATTGGCCTAAACATGACAGAAGTTCTAAAAAACTGAAATAAACTTTTTAGAAAACTACATGTGGATTTTTCCTAGTTCAAAAGAAACTTTGTACCTGAAGGCCTAAAAACATGCAGATCCAGACAACCATCTGTTATAAAATGGCCTGCCCCAAATACTTTTAATGTATTTTCAACCTTACTTCCTTAGAAGACAAAGCTTATGCCCCCAGGTTGTCCGTGTGCTGTCCTTCTGTCAAGCAACACCATGACACTTTCCCCCCCCATTAGCTCCTGAACCTGGAATTAATTTCAGCCAGTTGTGACGGAAGAGAAGTGTCAAGTTCATAGAATCATAGAATGGTTTGGGTTGAGAGGTACCTTAATGAATATCTAGTTCTAATCCCCCTGCCATGGGCAGGGACACCCTTCACTAGGCCAGGTTGCTCAGGGCCCCATCCAACCTGGCTTCAGACACTTTCAGGGATGGGACATCCACGCTGCCTCTGGGCACCCTGTTCCAGGGCCTCACCACTCTTACAGTAAAGAATTTTTTCTTAACTAATCTAATCTAAATCTCTCATCTTTTAATCTAAAACCATTTTCCCTTGTCCTGTCACTATCTACGTAAGTGAAAAGTCATTCTCCCTCTTTTTTATAGACCCTTTTAAGTATTGAAAGGCTGCTCCAAGTAATTTCAAGAAGGCCAGCAGCTCTGGGGTGGTAAGACCCTGTGAACATGCTGCCTCCTTCCATCCCTGGCCCCAGGCAGATGTACAGGCGTGACGTTAGCACACCAGTGCTGCAACACAGACACACCTGCACAGGGCACCAGCCTTCTTACAGCACCGGTTTTGCAAAACCAGGCCATGTTGTTTACTGGTCTTTTAGGAAATCTTGGACTTGGGCAGTATTTTTTTGTATTAGGAAAGTTAGCTTATTATTGAGCAATTGTGTTCAATGGATCAGAGAACACATCTTAAGTAATTGATTCATGCTGTTTTCAGACAAGGGGTAGCTTAATTTACTGATGGTTTCTTTTCTGTATGGGAGGCATTCGTATTTTACAATCGACAAAATTCTTCAGCTGTAACTCTTCTGTACATTTATGGTATGCTGTTCTTTCTGAAATGCTCCTCCACCTCCCACCCCCAACAGGAGATTAATCTACTTCTTGTAACAAATACAGAAACCTTTAATGTATTAGTAACAGTTCATACTTATTACTTCAGCAGTTGTCTTGTAGGCATAAAGTCAAACATTGTTAATAAGTTACCAAACATTGTGAAAGCTTAAACACCTTTGACCAGATTTGCAACCAGCCTGCCAGAAAACCTACTGTTCTGTCAAGTTTTATTGAATTCTCGTGAGTTTTTTGCTATAAAAATGAAATCATATCTTACCTCAAAGGGAAGCGTTCACTATCAGACTTGTCTATGTTCTCTGCTGCTTTTGCCCCGAACAATTGTCCAGTGCCCTTAATGAAAAATGAATCAACCAATTGAAGTTAAAAGATGAGAGGTAATAGCACACTGACCTTTTCTGTTTTCTTGAAATAAAGATATACTACTTAGCACAGTTCCCAGGGAGATGAGACTGCTGCTGCCTTTATGTCTCTGGGCAGAAAAATCTAAGCGTATTTCCGTATCCTCTCCAATATTTTTGGATTTTTGGCCAATCTCAGTCAAATTCAACAGAGAACTTCTGACAAATTTCTTTGAGTTAGTTGATCTTTTAGAGGAGAAAGCCCTGAATTAGTGCCACCACTGTGGGAAAGATTGCATATCCCTTGGTGCACAACGGAGAACCCACATAGGAGAAAAGCATTTTGCAAGGTCAGGAGCAGAGCTCACATTTCATTAGACGTGAGGGAATTGAACTACAAGATATAACCTGATAGGAAACCTGGCTTCATTAGTTGAACTGCACTAATAAATAAACCATCTATTTATTTATTTATTTTGTTGATAGCATCCAGTGCTGCAGTTTCAGCCAAGTACAAATGGTCAATGATGGCATAGCGTTTCAAAAAGAAAAAAAAAAAAAAAAGGAAAAAAAAAAAAAAAAAAAAAAAAAAAAAAAAAAAAAAAAAAAGGAAAAAAAAAAAAAGAAAAAAAAGTACATGCTGTTACTGCTTCTTTGTGTCTTCAGGAAGCTCAAGGACATTATCAAACTATATTTATGCAAGCTGTGTTAGCTTTTTAGGCCAAGGTACATGATTCAGTTTCCTTGATGTTAGAAATGAGAGTTGGCAGCCCAAAAGAATTTGCATATGTTGTGTTGACAACAATAGAAATAAATAGTCGAGGCTACATCTGATGTAATTCCACAGTGCTGTCTGATTTCTTCACAAAGAGAAATGGTCCTGGGAGTGCCTGGGTATACTCCAAAGACAAAAAACATATGAATAGTTGTAAAAACCAAAACAATATGTGTGCATAAATGTATATTTTACAGTATTTTTTTATGCTCCTTGGGAGTCAAAAGTCAAAAAGAGTCAAACTTTTTATAAATATATGTGTATATACACACACATATTCCATGCTGCATTTGAATGAGTGTCTTTTTTTTTTTTCAGATTCCCTATCAATATGTTATTTCAGAGCATATTAAAGTATTTTAAAGAGCTGTTTCCATCTGCAAATGGCAGTGTGCTCTTTCCTGAACTCCACAGATCAATCCCTCCAGTAAATATCAACTACTACATGGCCCTAGGATGTCTGCAATTTCACATTAAAAAAAAAAAAAAATCACCCTCCAGGTGATGTGGTCTGTTCTTCCATCATTTTTGCCCCTCTTCTGTACTACAACTTGTGAGCTTATAAAAAGAAATTACAAAAAATTATACTAGGAGGTTTTGGTGAGGCTTACACAGTCATTCAGTTAGGACAGAGTGAATACAGGGAGGGAGCTCACCTCCCCTTGCCAATTGCTGCGTGCTGGTAAAGGGGTTCCTCCCTCATTGTAGAATCACTTTTGGACAAGGACAATGACAATCAATAATTGCAGCTAAAAGTATGAGGAAAAGTGGTGAAATTAGGTGAGTTAAGGGGAAGCATAAACAAACTCAGAAGCAAGACAAGATTTCTTTTGCTATATACAAGATTTCTGCTGTATTCAATGCACACATACATACATACATACATAGCTGTATTCAATGCACACATACATACATACATACATATACACTCACACAAATATATTTATATACACAGTGTTTTAATTTTGCAGATTGTTTTAAGTCCTGTGATGTGCTTTTTCAGAAAGAGATGAGTCTGTTAAAGAAAAATGTAAATGTAGATTTTATTAGTTCAATTGGTGTTTGCACTCAGTCCTGGTGTTTAAGAAGCTTTTCCTCTGATTCTGACCTTCAGAATCCTGAAAGCTAAAGAGTAAATAAACCAGGTGGCCTTTCTGAATTTTGGCAAGATGGGCTTACAAGCCCCTTGCTCATTCGTAGTTCCAGTGCTGCTATCTTGTGGAAAAAAATGGCTGCAGCAACTGCAACACTTGTAAAAGATGGTATTAAGATTCATTGTCAAGAATGGTAATTATGACCTTTGGAATGTTCGCATATTTTTTCTAATTTAGAAAAACTGTGTTAGTGTGATTAATATCCAGTGGATGATATGGGGAATCATTATTCATTGTGATCCAGATTATAATTTGGGTTGTTTTGAATGCCCAGAATTTTGTAATTCATTTTTGCAGAAGTAACATGATCCCTCCCGGTACATTCTGATGTATAAGCACTACTCTTGCCTGTGAAAGCAGTGAAACTGTTTCTTCTATTGCCGCTTCTTATAGACTGTTTAAAACTACTGCATGGTTACTCAATATGAAGTTTCAAAAATCCAAATTTAATAAACAACTAGAAAAGCATCTCAGGCAATATTGCACTATTACTCTGAAACAGGCAGATTTTTGGCCAGAGCAGTTGTTTTCAAAGCATTTTCACTGGCATGTGAAAATTCAGTCAAACTGAAATACCAGTTATTTCTGAGTACGATTCCAGCTTTAAGAAGAAATTGTACCAACAACCAAAACATGTTTTTCTGTTTTCTTGGTTTGTTTTCGAATGCACATGCAAATACAGATTTATATGTCAACAAATACGTAGAATACTTGACACACTTCTATTGCATACTGATATAATCCACTTTAGCAAGTTACTAAGCAGCTTTTCAAGATCATCTGTGTTCCTAAAGGAGGCACTTTATATTTTACCCAATGGTCTTTGATTGGGAAAGCATGACTTAAGCAACAAAAACACCTAGAAAAATCAAATACAGAAATGGAAAGGCTTGTCCCAGATTTGTAAAAAAATGAAAAGCTAATGTCAAAGCAATTTGATTAAGCTGTGTTTATTTCAATTGAATTGTGTCTGTCACTTTGTAAATAGAATGGGAATGTAAAGGTTGGTTTGGTCTTACAGTTATTTCAAAGGCAAGAAAATAATTTCCAAAAGTATTGTGGCATATATGTCATATATACCAAAATATGGTATATCTTCCAGTTGCAAACCAATCCTTTCTTTTATTTCTATTTTATATAAAAAAAAGAAATTCAAATGCCTTTGAGAGTGTCTACAGATCTTCATTCCTCCCACAAGTCCTACTGATCAAAAAGTTTGAAATAAGCATAAAATCTAGCACTACATTCTGAACAAGTCTGAACAAGTCTGAGACTCATCAAGAGTTACTCTGAAGTGCCAACAGTGTGTGAGGCAGCAAATGATGTAGATAAGTTATCCATTTCACTATTTTGAATCAGATTCTGGTCCCAAAATGCAGAAAGAATGCTTTAAAAAATGTTCTTTTTGTTTTTAAAGTTAGTGCAGTGTTCTCACAAATGAGCATCCAAGCAGAATTTGTAAATGTGTAGAATAAGAAATCTGTTTAATTTCAGGACACTTTCTACTCATTTGTGTTAGGCTGCAAACTAATGTTAGGCAATAACATTTAGATCTTCCTCAATATTTTTGTCAAAAACATCATCACATCAGTATAAGTGTCGTGATGCAGTTATGTCTCTGTACCATGATGTTTGGAACTGCCAATGCAGGGCTTGCAAGCGAGAGGTTGGAGAGCAAGCAACCAGCAGCACCGGGCTGAGGAGCTCAGGGCACAAGTCAGGTACAGGCTGACTCCAAGGCAAGCCACGATCCAAATGCCTCCCCATAACCAGCAAAGTTTTTGCAGGGGTAGTTTGAGGCACACATGGCCCACATCATTTCCCCAAGGCCACCACCCTGGAGACAATATCTGTGTCACAATCACACCATACCCTGCCATTTGCCAGGGTCTCTTCATCCCAAACTCTGCCAACACTAAATGCACAACAGTCCCCTCCTGCCAAGGGATGCTGGCACCCCAGCTGCGGCACAGCTGCCGCTCGCACATGCACTGGGGGAGGCCGGGAGAAGGGGTAGCCGTGCCAAAGCACACACCTGAGTCCAGTTCTGGGCCCCTCAGTTCAGGAAGGATATTGAGGTGCTGAAGCAGGTCCAGAGAAGAGCAACCAGGCTGGTGAAGGGACTGGAACACAAGTCCTATGAGGAGAGGCTGAGGGAGCTGGGGTTGTTTAGCCTGGAGAAGAGAAGGCTCAGGGGTGACCTCATCACTCTCAACAACTCCCTGAGAGGTTGTAGCCAGGTGGGGGTCGGTTTCTTCTCCCAGGCAGCTATCAGTAAGACAAGAGGACATGGTCTTAAGCTCTGCCAGAGGAGGTTTAGGTTGGATGTTAGGAAGACATTCTTTACAGAGAAGGTAACCAGGCATTGGAATGGGCTGCCCGGGGAGGTGGTGGATTCTCCATCCCTGGAGGTATTTAAGAAGAGACGGGATGTGGCACTTAGTGCCATAGTCTAGTAAATGTGGTGGTAGTGGATCAAGGGTTGGACTTGGTGATCTCAGAGGTCCTTTCCAACCCATCTGATTCTATGATTCTGCGATTCTACCTGCCACAAAAGCAAATCGGTCCGTGCTAGCCACGGGCAGGCACAGCCTGGGGACCAGAACCGTCAGAGGAGCCGGGTCACACAACAGCCTTGCAATGAAGTTGTGAGACGCAGCATCGCTGCCTGGTTTAAGGGCGGGCGTGACCCGTGTGAGAGCAGGGGCAGGCGATGTGCCGCCCTGAGCCAGCCGGGGACAGCGTGAGTGCTCCCAGGGCAGGAGGGGCGCGGAGCCCATCACGTTCCCGAGTCTCTGCCCACACACCAGGGAAACGCCCAGCAGACACACGGTTTATTGTTCCTGAGGGATTTCCATCCCACCTCCGTCTCCCCTGGGCGCCCTCAGACGCGGCCGCACCGCAGTGGCGCCACTGGGCGGCGCCCGAGCGCCACCGCGCTGCCTGCCGCGCTCCCTCCCTCCCTCCCGGAGCCCGGCGGCGGCGCTGGAAAAGAGCCTGAGGGAAAGGTCCTCACACACTCCCATCGCCCGGTGTTCCTCTCTCGCCCGGGTGTTCGCGATGCATTTCTAGGGAGCAAATGGCACCGGCCTGCCACGAGTTGCCGCCGCCACCTAAAGCAGCACAATTACACCCTCCCTTGTGCTCAATCCCGTGTTCATTGGGTCGCTCGACTCATTGACTTGGCTGAAAAAAACCACGTTTTTTGTTGTTACTATTCTGCAAGGCTGGTGGGTTGAATTTGCTTGAGGAAAAGCCCTTTGTGAGAAAAAAGCAGGAGCATTCGGCCAGAAGCTGAAGGAGAAAGGCGACTGATGTGGCTCATCTCATGGAAGCGCACCACTAATTGCTATTGTTGTAGGAGAAAGGGTACAAGGTACAAATACAGAAAGGAAAGACAACGCCTTGTATCCTGTACCTGTACCAGAGGGAGAATATCAGATATCTCAGAATTAGTTGAGAGCAGCAGAGATCTTTGTGGTGGATGTTCTTGTTTCTAGTGTAGATCTAAATTAGAGTAATTCTCATGGGTGTTCTGTGTAAACTGACCCTTGGTAAGAAAAATTCAGTTCAGTGTTATGTCCTTCAAGTCTTAAATAAATAAAAAAAATCAAAGAAAAATGGAAGCAGCAGAACAGATGCTCAGAAGAGAAGTAGAATAATCACAATTAAAAACTGGAGAAAGAAACAAATAAGATATAAAGGAAGGTGAAGTAAATCTCTGTAAGATTTTAAATGCCAAGAGAGCTTGTCTCTGCAACAAAGGTGGTCATGACCTGGATTCCTTCCTCCTGAATTTAAATTTGTAACCAGGTTACATAGGTATAGGTTTTCTGTAACTTCTGTGGAGAGAAAGGCCCCTTAAAAGGGGAAAAAAATCTTCAAGCTGGATATCAATAGTTGTCCAACTGCTTCAGGCTGTAGAACTGCAGTCTTGCTCTTACGTGCCTAGGGTATACTGACCTCTGCCACTTGCAAGACAACTTTGTCATGGAAATT